GGAATTGAGGCAGCAGTACTATTCATTGCTAAGCTCCTGGTTATTTTTAAAGGAAAGGCTTATATCTTCTGAGACCTGAAAGCAGCCTGCAGCCTGCTGGAAAGAATGAAGGGAGATAACAAAGTCCAGACAGGATACTTTGACTGACAGCATGCAAGGCTTGCCCACTAGTACTGAAATCATAACCAATATTTCCTATTAAGCAATATAGAAAAATACTAGACTTGTCTATGTAAGTTTTAGGAGTTTGAACATGTTAAGAACAAATGGGATTTATAATCCGTGTGGTGCTTGCTCTTTTTATTAGGATGAAGGACATCTGTCAAGTGTTCATCGAATTACTTGCTGTACCCTCAAATCTCAATGCTGAAGTATTTTATCTGTCTCATCTTGAGGTTATGAGCTAACATATTCAATTCCAATATGAAAATATTCATGATGATACAAAGTATTTTCAGAAGGAGATGTCTTATGTTTCAAGATAATCAAAAAGGGAACGAGATACTGGACTCAAGTTTTTGCTCTGTTAGGCCCTGTCTAGACCAGAATTATCATAATTCAAAAATGAGAGTTAGCAAACCACATTAGCAGGTGCAAATGCAACACAATTCTCCACAGACACTTCTGTGCCACTGCAATGGACATGAATCCTTATCCTGTTGCCACATTTTTGCTCCCATAAAATATTTCATAGTATTAGCTTCCTGAATAATCTGGTTTACTTTTGCTAATTTTAGACACCTATGCATTATTTCAAGTTCACATAGCTTTCTATTTTTTTTAGTTCCACACTGAACTTCACACAGTCTTCACCCTGTGCTGTAACTCAGGGTTTCACAGTACGATAAAAAACCTCCACATACAAAAGAAAAAATTGGATGGGAAACAAAGAGAACAGAAATACTGCCTGTTCAGGTAAATGTAATATTTTGAGATATTTATACATTTTGTGAACAGTGACTCCAAGTATCACAATGGAGTATGTATCTTTTTTTTTTTTTTTCTTGTGCAGCCATAGGCATAGGTTTGCCACAGTTTCTTGGTTACTTTAGAAAATGTGCACTTCAAAAATGGAAAGAGACACACATCAGCCAAAGCACAATTATAACATATATTGGAAATGGCCTCTTCCTATAAAACCCTCGAGAATCTATAAGTGGGAATAAGTTTTTCAACAGCATGTTACACATGAAAGCACAATCACTAAGGGGAACACAGGCTACAAATTGCTAGATTTTTCTGCAATATAATGGGCTTTTCAGTTATCTTCCCAAGTGAGCTTACAGAAAGGCATGGCTGCCAGTTTGCCAACTTACAAAGGGATCAAATAAATCTCCAGTATCATTATTATAGGTCAATGGAATATAAGCCAAAAGCAACACAGTATTTAGGAAATGGATGTTGATAATAAAAGACCCACTCTAATTTCCTGTGGAGTTCTTAAATTAGCTCATCCCATATGCATACTGGTTCAAACTGATAATTCTGCAAGATAGGCACTTTTCTGTACCTCATTTTAAGTAACTGATTTTGTTCTTATGGAAGAAAAACTGTGTGAAGTTGATATTAAAGTTGTTGATTTAAGCTACCAGGAAGTGCAGCTACTTGTTTTTATATCTGTCTTTACTAGTTCTTAGATGAACTAAGCTGCAGCACTTCAATACAGCCACGTTTTAATATAGTCTCAAATACACTTATTAGCATGAAATGGAAAACATTTTATTCTTAAATGATGTTTATAATTCCTATTAATTCTGACGACAAAATGCCTATGTAGTGTGAGAAAAATTAGCCATGTTTCTATCTGAAAGAAATAATAGTTTGCAGATCAGAGAGGCAGTTAAATACAGAGAGAAACATTAGTATACTTTTTGTAAAATTCTCATTTCCTGCAGCTGAAAGATATTCATTGCCTTCTACTGCCAAAGCTTGGGTCAGCCAAAACATTAAAAAGAAATATATGTAGTAGTAAAGCATTTGTAGCACTTATTTAAAAACAAATAATGTTTGCAAGGCAGATCAGACTGCAGTATTCACGTGGCTGTTAGTAACCTCAAGCCACTAGCATCACATACTTAACACAGAATTATTCAGAGAAAATTTTCTTCAATATCTTTAGGCAACAAAGAACATTTCTGGTCATCGTGTGAATTCTGTGCGACTCAAACCCAGGATTTTCTTCTTTGTACTAAGTATGGGAAAGCCTGTTCCTTTGAGAGTTAGAATAGCTTTCGAAGACTTCTGATTTAAATTTCAAACTCTTGATCATAGTCAGGGAGTAAATGTTTTTATCCTGGAATTGAAAATTGGGTTCTTTAGCTCTATACCAAGTGAAAATATTAAGCATTTTGTTGTATCCACTATGTGAGCCAAGTTCCCCACTGTGCCTTCAAATCCACAGTGAATGAACCATATTTGGATCTGCTTATCAGAAGGAGACATTTAGAAAGACAATGAGTCTGTCCTGCTAGACGAGACTCCTGATGCTTTTAGATAGGCCTGCGGTGAACTGCAAAATGGGCCCTAAAATCAGGCTGACATGGTCGCTTAACAAGCTGTTGGCTCAGAGAATTTCTAGTGTCACCCACAGGGCTGATGATGGCAGCCATCATAATTAGAATGCATGAATCAAAAACACCAGGTGAAGATTTTGCCTTGGAAGAAAGAAAAGACAGAAGGAGGGAATTACCATGGCCTTTGACTATTAAGCTGCTGCATGCAGCTGGATCAGTGACCAACAGTGCCTGGTCGGATTATGCTATGGAGATGCTTGCTATAGACTTATACTTCTCATAGCCAATGGCTGTCAGAGCAAACACTGCCAGCAGCAACTTCAAAGAAAGTGATACAAGTGGCTACATGGAGGAGAAAGGTAACCCCATTAAAAATGGAAGAGAAAAAAAAAAAGAAAAAAAAAAAAAAGGAGTTCAGACTTTTTTTTTTTCAGTTTAGCAAATAATTTCAGTTAGGAATTGGTTTATTTCATTAATTCTAACCCTCTGAGTATGTCCCTAGAAATGCTGAACTCCAATGTCTGCTGAAGTGGAAAATCTACGTAATCTTAACTGATATGACCTTGAAAGGGATTTGTTGAACTTTTGTATGATTGGATTTTTCCCAACCTTTGTAGACTCTTGATTTTAAAATCTGCCTAACAAAAGCTCTGCCAGGAAAGCTGTTATTACAAAGATGCTTCTCAATAGGGAGAAGTGGGCTAATTGCAAGCTCTTCAGTGAAATAAAAGAAGGTTTTGCAAACAAGTACAGAATTGACAAAATGCACCACACTGCTGTTAACAGAAACGATGGGGGAGAAACATCAGAAATGGCAAAGATGTCTAATATAAATAGATGCTCTAAGACTAGCTAGAAGAGGCTATACAAGATTTCAGATAATTCATAAACAGTAATTGCTCGTCTGACCTTGATGTGACTACAGAAATTCCATTAACTCACAAATCTTGACATTTAATTACATACTAAAAAATATTCTCCCATTTATTTTGACAGGGTCTACAATAATCCTGCATTCGACTTTTACCCATATTTTCAGCCACTTTTCCCACACTGCAATTTATTCCCAAAGTCACAAATAAAGAACATAATATCTGCCTATGCTGTTACTTAGAACGTTCTTCATTTCTCACCAAAATTTGAAATGGAATGCTGTGAAAAGATGAGGTTCACAATGACACAATGCCCTTCACCTGGTGTCTTATGCAGTTGAACTGAACCTCTCTGAATCCCCTGAGATAATAAAAATTCACTGGGGATGTAACTGCCATAAATTATTTTACAGATTAGTTTAAAACCACACACAAAAAAAGCTAGCTTAACAGTAATAGATATTAAATAACTAGGAAAAAAACAACCAAACAAAAAAAAGCCACTGTAGTATTTGAAGCCAATATTCATCCGTAACACTTAATTTAAAGAAAGAAAATATAATCCAGATATTGCAGCTAAGATGACGATGGTGTGATGAAACATGCACTGTTTTAAGTGCTAATGTTGGGTGTTTTTGTTCATGTGATCTAAATGAAGTAGACCCTAGGGAGGTAAAAAAAAAAAAAAAAAAAATCAGAGTACTGAATATTAAGTGAATAAATACTCTGGAATTACTGGATTTCAGCAACACCTAAAAGTGGTTTTTGCCTCCTTTTGTGCAAATGCCAACCAGAGTAGATTTTTTCTTTATATTTTAAGTTCTATTTTTGAGGCAATTGGCTATTCTATGTAAGTTGCACTCTTTGTATCCACTTTCTGTTTGCCTCATCCATTCAGAATCACAACACAAAAACTGTTAGTTTAAATAGTGCATGTTTCTCTTCCTGTATCAGAACAAAAGCTAATCTTCTTGATGACAAATTCTTGAATTTAAGTAATAATTTCACATCAACTTTTGATTTGAAAAGATAACAAGAAACAATGGAAATATATAATTTATCATCTCGTACATACTAGGAAATATCATGATTTTCAAAACCAGTTTGATTATATATGCTGTATATTCTATTCCAACTATTATTCACACAACATGCAAAATAAATTGCAGCTAGGTTTTGCTGTTTTGTTATTTTTATTTTTATTTTGTAAGCTCCTAGCAGTCTAGCAGGAGCAAAACAATTTCTGGTAGCTCCTTACTACAAGCACAATACAGAATCCTATAGGATTCACACAAATGTTATCACTCAACAGCCTGGAACTAGGTCATACGCCCTGTCTGCAGAATCGTTAAGAATATAACACTCTTCCTAAAACGGCCATAATAGTACATGCATGTATATATATGCACTGTGACAAACCAATCTGAAAATATTTGTAATATTTTTATGGCTTACATCTTTTTTTTTTTCTGCTCTACTAATAGTCCTCAAAAGAAACAAAGAAAACATTGACGCTGAGAGCATCCATACTGCAACCGTATATATATAATACAGACAGTACTAGACATTTCTCAGTACTAAACGTGTGGCTAAATATAAAAAAGAAGTAGGCATTTCTAAAACTGAATTCCTTCCCTTTCTTTTCATTCTCAGTTCTCCTTATTACATTGCTCTCCTCTCTAATTTCTGGTAAGAGCTATATCTCAAGTTTATTTTTGTCCCTGATTCTGTTTCTTTATAACGTTCCTAAGACAATCCTCCTCCTTACTGAAATCACTGAGAAGCGTCTTTGACTTCTGCATTCTCATCTTGTGACCCCCTTCCTCCAGCCTGAGATAATTCTCAGCTCACATCTCTTTCATGCCTATCTCCATAGTACCTTGTTTTCTCCCTCCATAACAAGTTGCCTCCTCATTTGCGAAGGATCACTTTCCAGCTGTAGACTCCTGTCATGCTCTTTTCAGTCTTCTCTTGTGCTTGTTTTTCCCTACTTCTACAGCACAGCTGAACGGATAAAAAAGCACATCTTTGCCAGAATGCACAAAGCGTTCCTTAGCTTATTAAAGCATTTTTATTGGCATTATCAGCAATGTTTTATCTTTCTTTTGACTAATTCAAATCATCATATACTCTAATAGGTCTACTAACATCCACACACTCACTATTTATGCAAGCCAAGCTCTTACCAGGTTTTTAATGGGTAATATCAAAGCTAAACAAAATTGCTTTTGCTCTCCATCAGTTGTGTTCTCAAGAATATTTCCCACTTATACTCTCCTAACACTATTGCTGTCTTTCCAAGTTCACTGTTATTTCAGCCTCTGAACCAAATAAACTGAAACACACTTTGTCTTCATGATCAAGACCTTTGATTGAACGCATTTAGGGGGAAACAAAGTTATTTTATTTGCTTGTCATTTTCTGAAGACTTCAACTCCACAGCACATAAAATGCTCTTTGCAGCACAATTTTTTTGAGTGTATAATTTATTTGTGATTTTAAACACCAAATTTTTCCAAGTATTTCCTCAGAATATTGGTCCCTTACATTTCACTGGCTCTCAGAACCCTTGTCTCCCAAGTGAAAAGCAAGGGCAAAGGCATCAAGTAAATGAGATTTAATAGGTAAAATCTATAAAGTCATGTGATTATTATTGTTCCACTGATTTTGGCAGGTCATAACAATATAATACATATGGTTCACATTACACCTCTCCTTTTTTCTCCTGCACTGATTTTGGCATCTCTTGAGAAGCAAAGAATATTCAAGGCTTCCTTCCACCCCCCTACTCCCCCCCTTCAATGTATTGGTAACTATTGAATTTGTAGTGCCTGCTAGTATGACAGTCCTCCTGATATCAAGTTCTTCACTGACAATCAGCACATCCTCAAGAATATACTGACGCCCTCCTACTTCTCTCTTCAGAAGAAAAAAATTTGGAAGGAAATACTGCTCTGCAGATGCTTTTCTCTCTGTCTCAGTGAGAGAAAGAGATGAACGCAGTTCAGTGAATTTCCTTCCTTTTCTCAGCAGGGAGGCTTGCACGTGGTTGGGCACAGCAAGAAACATGATTTCCACAGGGCCTCAGGCAGCAGCCAAATTTCACAGCAGGGGACGAATCCATGGCCACTTCTGAGGCTGCAGAGCTGCGCATAACACAGGGTTCTCATTATAAGGTTGGACAACCCTCTAGAGACTTTCTGCTGTTTCCATATTAACAAGAAATGAGTGGTTTGTGTATGTCACAGGAGCTCTGTGTTAAATATTACTGCCTTGTATTATGCAGAGTAGTATGTGTGCATTTCTACTGTGATAATGCACAGAGACATCAAGGAGGGGAGGAGGATTTACCATACAAGGCTTCCAGCCCCATGTGCAAGAGCAACACAGCCTGTGACTGGCAAAGTGAGATCATGAAACTATAAAATAAATGGGAGCTGGAAGTTCAGCTTATTTTTCAGCTTTATCTTACATGTTATAGACATTTCTCCCACAACTTCCATGTAATTCTTTAGTAGATTTCTATCACATAGAGTCATTTTTAATATATTTGAATTTTTTTCATCTTCAATAAATTCTATTCCACTCCTTTAAGAAAAATCTTGGTTACTTTGAAGATATTTCTCTGCTTGCCTGCACTCTGTGAAATTCTTACTAAAACAATAAAAGTTCTAAAGCATAAATTAGTCTCCTAAAAAGTATCTTATAGGTAGGTAGATGACCATTCTCCATGCCATGTAAGTAATAAAGCACAGACTTCATTACTACATTTTGCTAGTGTTTCATTTTCACATGCTAAATGCAAAGTCCAGATGAAAAATAGAAATATTGTGGTTCTTTAGTAGGAAGCACTTAATGAACTCAAAACCTGCTGCGAGACAAGCACACTAGGAAAAATGAATTTGAAATGAAATCATAATTATTAATTAGAAAAAATTGATCATTAGATTAAAAAAAAAAGATAAGACAACGCTAAAAAAAACCACCTATGGCTATCAGACTTAATAATAACAAATAAAAATGTCAGAACTATTCAGTAAATAGTTTCATTCTGTATTTAGGAAGGAAGCACATGATATATGTGATGACGGTAATGAAATTTCTTCCCTGTCAACAGTAACTAGAGATTATGTTTAGCGCAGTTTTAAACCCATCATTTTAAAATCAGAATGTCAGATAAAATAAAAGAGTTTTGAAATAATTAAATAGAGAGTTCTGTGGATGAAAACAATAATTTCATTTTTAATATGCGTTTGAACTGACTAGGCTTTATATTTTAGAGTTTTAACGCTTTAGAGTCCATGGTCAATCAGTTATCATGTGAATAAATAAAACAATCAGTTGGGTAATTCTTGCAATTATGGGCCTGCAACCTGTCACCAGTACTAGGTAAAGCAATGAAGTTTTACAGGGATTATCTTAGAACAGAAGGAAGATAGCACAGTTGGTGTTAGTAAGATGGGCTTTATCAGGACTAAGACATCGGTTTTTGATCTCCTTCTGTATTTGATTGGCAAGAGTTGTACTGCTAATGTGTTTTTAACTTTAGTGAGGCATCTAAGCTGATTATACAGAGAACCTTGGTTCCTCAAACTAAGACCATATACAATAATTTTTACTAATATTTAATAGCTAAAGTACCATAACATATTGAATAATTTATTGATTCCTTTGTCTTACAATAAGAAAAAGGAAGTTATTATCATGCGGATAGTGTCCATACTTCTGCTTGCCCCCTTATATATATTTATTGCTTCACAGCAATAATCAATGGAAAAATAGACTGATTCAAATATCAACATAATTACATAACTAAGCTAATAACCCTTGACTAATTTTTATAGATATCCATACTCAACTTCAGAAATGAAACTGCAATGGCTTTGTCTTTTGCTCACAATGAAACTGTTAGCCTGCTTTAATTCCTGATGTTTAAGGAGAGTTGCAGTATCAAATAATATCTAGTAATTAACTTACGGCCTTCTACCTTAATTCACTATATTTAGAATAAAGTTTGCCATAAAGTTCACAGCACACCTCAGTTCTCAAATATTTTTCCAATACTCCTCATGCCCAGAAACGTATTACTCTCTGTTTTTCTAACATACTTAACAAAAAGTTCATTACCTTACTTCTTGCCCTTCTAACATTTTTAATAGCCACAAAAATTAAATAACTCAGAGTACAATTATAGTTTAACAAAGAAATCTGGCAAAATGTTATTTCATATCCTAAAAGTGGATAGGCTTCACAACAATACCTAAGCTTATCCTTCTGGTATGTTATTTACATTTGGTAATGAATATCTTTGTTAGAAATTTACAATGTAGACATCAGGAACTAAATCATATTTAGATTTATTCTTTTTGCTATAAGGCTTAATGGTATTATTTTTTTCCCCAGGAGAAAATGAAGAGAAGTATTCATTAAACAACAAACATGAAAGTAAGAAACAATGAATCAAACAGTAATGAGCATTGTATGTAGAAGTACTGAAGTAACTGTTTCACATGTTTTATATGTTTCACAATAACATATGGAATAGATTAAGATGAATCAATATTTTTTCTTGACCAAAATCATAACTCTAGAAAATTAGAAGGAGAAATGTGGAGGGAGAAAATGGAAAAACAGAAATCAAGAAAACCAAGGGAAATGGAAAGATGGGCCCTGAGCCTTTTTTATTTTTTTCACAGCTTTATGTTCTGATGTTTAATTGCCCAGATAATTGTGATTCTATTCCCCTCTATAAATATCTTCTCTCCTTTTATCACATCATAATAAATCATTTGATAATGTTTATCCTTTGTTCAAACAGCCATTATGGTAACTAACATGCATTCCTACTCATCCTAAGGTCTTCACTCTACACAAGTGAGATGTGTGCACACTTACTAAACAGCTCAAATTACTGTTAGCTAATGGTATTATAGTGCTTTGAAATCATATTTGGAAAAAAGCTTGACAAGATCATTTGACTACTGGGTTTGTCTTTTAGTCCATTGTGATGGCAGAGAAGGATCTGCCATCACGATCTTTAAAGTATATCCACTCAGCATGCAGAGAGAATACAAGATAAGTATCCTAAAGAGTTAATCTCCACCTGCTTCCACCTCTCCAAAAGCTTTTGTTGCTTATAGAAAACACATATCCAAGCCTTACTTGATAAAAGGTTTCCCACTTAGCCAGTAGTTTCTTATAACATACAGTAGAATACTTAATTACTGACATGACGTCATGAATTTGGGAAAAGAAAAAACAGCAGACAACTGTTTGTTTAACAGGGAAAAATATCATTGTATTACTTAGGAAAAAAAAAAAAACACTCTTACTTTCCAGTTTGACTAAAACCACAAAGGAATGATAGAATTCAAAGACAGAACTGCTATTTTGGACTGCTATTCTGCAATGATAACATTATATTTTAAAACAAAGTTTTTCAGCTTTATCTGTATTATTCTGCTAGTACTAAATACTCAATTCTTATTTCCAGATGAATAGGATTTAATTAAACACTTTATCACAAATCTTACATTTAAAGCAACAAAGATTGGTATGTACGAAGGACAAGACTTGCATTTCATAAAGACACACGTCTTTAGTTGATCTCTATTAGGAATGAAAAAGGAGAACATCTAGTTGATATTTTGATTACTATTCAGAATGATGTATTTCTTTATAGTTTGCTCTCTTCTAAGCCAGAGGAAAAAATACGGACAATATATATGTCCTTGTTTAACCTTCATTTTTCCCCTCTATATCATTTTCACAGAAGAGTTGACCAAAATGGAATTTAACAGACAAGGTAAGGATGTACATCATTTTATATAACGTTGTAATATTTTCCATAATATTCCCTACCCAGCCTAAATATTATTCACTTTTTTGACCTCTGATACACTTTAAGCAGATGTCTTCATTGAGCTGTCTGCAGTGATGCCTAGATCTTTGTCCTGAGAGGCTACATCTAATCAGAATCCCCCAGCACACGCAAGAGACTGTAATTTGTTCACTGCAGCGTCTGCTGTTTCCCACTCAGGGAGGACAAGTTTCATCAGCCACAACTGAACATATACTCTCAGGATGCATGAGGTTCTTTTGGTGTTCTTCACAGCACTCCTTACTCTTCAGTAGTGCATATAAATGTTAATTACTGGCAAGTATTTCTGCCTTAGAAAAATGTTCCCTTCTCTTCAGTTTAGCAACGGTTCTAGTACATATTCTGGAGAGCAGCAATTATTAGCTTTCTTCCAGACTTTTCTTTTGTCATTTTCAGTAATCTTCTGCTGGATAACATGGACAAACTAAGAGATTTCCTTTGCATATTTATGTAATTACTCAAAAAAGATTTTCCAAATCCTCTGCAAAGACTGAGAGATCCATGCTGAAACTTCTTAGTCAAGGTTACATATTAATAGGGATTTCATTATATATTCTACAAAATTGGCATATATTTTAGTTCTAATCTTCTTATCCCTCTTTTTTTTTTTTTTTATCTGTAAATCTCTTTGCATTGGGAATTCTACACTGCTTCTGTGCTTGGAGAACACCCGAGTACTGAGGACAGTACTGGAATGCAAAAACAATCCTGGGTATTCTGTGGCTTCTTATGCTGATGAAAAACTAATCAAAAAAAGAATATCTGTAGATAAATATTTTTATAGCGCTTCCTCAATATGCATTTTCTTAGGTTCAGTTTTTAATGACTGCACATGGACTTTGGTTTTGATTTTTTCTTTCTAGCAGAAATTCAGGAAGCATTGGCTTGCCAATAGAAGAAAATTATTTTTAAAGTCTTCAGGAGTATTTAGTGAGTGATTTTCACATAAATTAATAGAAACTAGGTATTTAGCAGTAAGACACACTTTGGAAAGACAGAACAATCCAGCAGTCAAAGAAAATTACGTATGCTCCATACGTTATCATATCAAACAGTGAAGTGAACAAGGAGGTTTATGAACTTTGTGGTTTGTTCAGGCAATAGCTTTTGATATTCTGCATGTAAAATTAACTGCTAGCAAGAGATCCCTAACAAACTTTATAAGGCTTCTCTGTTTTTCAATTCCTTTTTTTTTTTTTTTTTTCCTGTCAATAATATTTTTGTTTTGCTAGTTTAAGAAAATGATTTTATGGTTATTGGCATATT